TTGCATTAACAGTTTCTATAATGCAAACATTATATTACTTTTAGATAAATATTTTCCTTTATTGTTTCGGTTATTTTAAGTCTTTACTCTTACTGCCAGAGCAGCAGAGTCATCTCCTGAGCACTTCTGTGCTGCTTCCTAAGTGACCAGCCCCATAAAACGAAACCCAGCCCGAAACCCCCCGAAAGGTCCTATTCCTGCCTCTAGAAGCGTTCAAGAGAATTGAACACCTCAAAGGACTGAGCCCTTAAAGCGTTTCATTCTTATTTCAACTTTAAAAAAGTAATGGGATTAAGGTATTTTCCAGCTGTGTCGATGTTGTTAAAAAAATTAATTGATTAAATGCAAAACTGACTGCTTCTTCCCACCAGCTAGGGAGATGACATGTTCTGGCATAAGCTAAGTTGCTCATTTTAATGTCCTAAAGCTACACAAAGCATAAAATTTTCAAGGTTATATGAAAAAGCTTTTAATAAATGCAATGTAACAACGTATTTATTTTAAATATGATTTTCTAAGTGTGAAGCTGTGCCCCCTGAATTTCAAAACGTTGTTCTGGTTGTTCAGGCCTTGAAGGAAACCAGTTTATTTACACATTAACAACATACTACTGAAATTCTATACCCAAATGTCTAACTAAATCACTTAGAAGTTAGGGAAGTATCATACACCATGGCTCATTGAAAAGTAATTCCAAAAAACCTTCTGGCCAGAGACACAAGAAGTAGAGAGCACTGTTGAGATGAAAAAAAAAAAGATAAAAAATGAGAAAGGAAAACCCTGCAAAGCACAAAAGCAGTGACAGTGTCCTCACAGGCCTCAGGGTGCAGTCATAATGTTAACAGTGGCAAAGAACAGCTGGGAAGCTAATAGGGTATTTCTTTGCAAATAAAATACACGCAGCTCTAGAAAGACAACACTGTACTCTTAAGAGCACAAGCACTACTATGTATCTGAAAATATACCTTGGTGATAATGCAGTAATGGCCACAGAGAAACCTTAACCGGTCAGCAAAAAGGTAGCTGGAGTTTACACCTTTAAGTAACTACAGATCTGAACAGATGAAGCAAAATGTTTAAAACCGTGCCAAGATTTACAAGACAGGAGCTGCAAGTTTCTACAGGGAGCTGCACGTGCCCCAAGATTCTGAAATTCAGGTTAAGTACCTGGATAACTACGTACAATTCTTCCCTATGGGAAAGCTTTGGTCTTGAAGTGGAACGCAAAATTGAATCCCCTTTACGGTAATTCTTCCCCTTAAAAGAAACAAGTTCTGCCCATTTATTTACCAACCTTCTTCAATTTCAGGGCAAAAAGTTCTGTTTCAAAGACTGGAAACAACCCAAAGAAATGGCTATTGTATGTGCAGACAAGTCCACCGCAACAGGAACACATTCCATAGCACCTTGTTCATCTGAGTTTCCTCCCTACAGCGAGGAATACCTAGTTCACAGCAAGGAATAAATATCTAAGTATTTTTAAAAGCTTTTCTTATAATCTTCAAGTAAGAGCTGGCTGAGGACCAGCCAGCACAGTGGCAAATTTAAGTGTACCCTGAGCTTGGCTGGTCTACTTTGTCCTACGCCATGTTATTTCCAGACACCAAGCGTGCCAGGCTGTGTGTTGTACAGACGGGGATGTCAGTTTGCTGAGCCAATGAAACCTCCTGGGATTATGCCAGGGAAGCACCAAAACTCATACCTTTTTAGTGCCAGGGCTGTGCAATACCTGTCCTAAATTAACCTAGGGAGCATTACGGGATGGCAGACACAAGCACAGAGTAGGTACAGCTGCTGTGATACAAACAAGATCTGAACCAAAAGTTGTTTTCCAAATGCTTGCATTCCAAATCTCGAACAACAATTTCTTTTTTATTTTAAACTCGACTCTAAGAGAGAGCAATCATCCAGGTTATTAAAACCAACAGTAACAACACTATTTCCAGGGAAGGCTCCCTACCGCGAGACTGGTCAGAGCAGTCAGTTGTCATCTAATCCAAGAAAACAGAAGTAACATCAGGACTTCACAAGATTAATACGAGCAGGAGTTTGCTTTCAGGTTTCTGAAGGCACTAAGGAAAGCAAAGGCTGATTTTCCACTAGCTCCGATTCAATCTGCTTCGGCAAATCAGAAGTGTTCTTGATGTATCCTGTCAATGTATCGATACAAACAGGTAATTCTTCCCCTTAGCTCTCTTACAAAACATGACTTCAAAAACAAGCATAAAAATACAGCGATAGCAAAGGATTTCTTCAAATTGTAAGAGATTATGCAAACTTCAAGCAAGGAAGAATTGTTTTGATACACAAGCTGAAGACTGTTTTCCTTGCGCAACATGAAAAGAGGTTCAGGCTGCAATGCTTTAGCTGCACAGCGGATCAAATTAGCCTAGTTAAAACAGGTTATACTTAAACCAAGGGCTAAAACACACCAATAAATTACTTAAATTACCATATCTGAGCAGTCTCATGGTAACAGACCATGTGCATTTTTTCAGTTCATGGAAAATGCACGGTAAAATGCAAGTATGAGATCACACACGAGGTTTAAGCAAACACACTTCACCCAGCATTTGTGACAGGCCGGGAACACGCATATAACCATTATCACAGTTCAGCTGATGCATGGTAACACACCAAAATAATTTGCCTCTATGCCTGAGCTTTAAACACTCATTGGTAAATCAGTTAACCTGCTACAAGTTTGGGGATGTAATCACACCTTTACATAAGCGCGCAAGTGTAAATTATCACAGTTTTGAAGAATCTAAGGATGACAGTTTATATATATGTTTTTATAAATTTTATATTCTAAGAAACCTAGGCATTAAAAAGCAAAATGACAGTTTACAACACACCAAAAAGTTGTTTATATAACATCTTGCAAAACTGAATAATTCTTCTAAATAATTATCACCCCTGACATTTTGAAATGGACAAAAATATAGGTATTGGTAAGCAGATTAAACCTTCTGATGAAAACAGTCATTCTGCTCAATACTAACACGTACCGTCTTGCAAGTACTTAAAGAGTACTAAAGCTACTTACATCCATGCAAATATTAAAGGCTGCTTTTATTCCTTCAAGTAACTGTAGTATGATGAACCCAACTGAAGTTATGTGTTAGTGGTACAGACCACTTCCCTAGTTTGGGACTCTTCAGCATTTCACACAGCAGAACTGAAAGCAACTGATCCCCATTAAAGAGATATCAATGTTGAAGCTATTTAATAAAGGGCATTAAACAGCAGATAAAAATACTTCATCCAAATTTATAACCCCGTATTTAACATGGTTAAACGATTTTCCTCCCAAAATACCCATTCAACTCAGGAGACTATAACATGGTTATCTATTTTTTTTTTCTTTGTATCTTGTAAGAAATCCATCTGCTGATTGATCTTTCACTCACAGGGCACTCTCAACTTCTCTCCCCAAAGACTTGTTTTGTACCTACTTATGTAGTTTCACATCACATTCTATTCGACATCGATTAGCTACCGTTCAGTTCTTTACTTGATTTCTTCTGTTGCGTTAGACAATTGTGAACCAAACACGAAAGGACTTGGGAAAATGGGGTGAACTGCTCCTCACAAAGTTGAGACTAGCACATAACACTTGAATTTTGGTGCATAGTCGTAACACGAAAACTAATTCTTCATTAGAGGGGACCTAACCTCAGCAAAAACACACCCCGTCACAGAAAAACTAAAGTCTGCTCGGATGCCTTTCAATTCAATGAACAGCGCATTAGCTGTGATGTCATGCAAAATTGCAATTTCATCCTCTGACGCAGCTGATGCGATTGCTTTCCTCAATGCAGCAGTCGTGTTAGGCTAAAGAATACACTGTTGTAAGCTATATGCAGCCAATGTCACACATAACAGTGATCAAAAACTTGTCAAAGGACAGGGTTAATTATTGGCTACGTAATGGTTGTGCGGTATCTATGGATACCCATTTTGAGCAATATTAACAGCTGCTCTCTTCTAATCCAGACAGATCGGGAAACAAATTCAAACGTATGAATTTGAAAGATCAGGCCCCCACCAATGCAACAGGTGGCTCTAAATGTTCTTTTTAGAAAAAGCCTGATGATTGTCTTCAGGACATACTCACGTCAACTCCCTAAAAGATGAAACAGCTACTTTATGTCTTCACATCAAAAAGGAGGTTTCTGATTCACAAATACTTTATAGTGCATCTGCTTATTCTCCTTCCATGTAAAACACACTGTTCTAGCCAACAGCTTCTAAAACTTGTCTTTACTTTTGGCTACTTGTATTTTTAAGAATGCAATTGCCATGGTTTCATAAGGGTCTTGCAGTATTGTACATCAGGAGATAAATCACAGGAATCTTCATAAAAAAAAAGAAAGTTGGAGAATTCTTGCTCCCACAAGTGCCACACCGATGGCAATTTTCTGACAGATTTCCTTCCGCTTTTCAAGCAGGTCAGTTCCATGACCTGATCAATTCCATGACTGAGGAGCTCAATTCCATAAGCTCCAACTAAAAAGTGTATCTGAGTAAGGCCACCTAGCCGGTCACTTATCAGTATGCTACCACCCACTTGAGCTGTTTTCTACACAGGAAATGCATTTTGCTAAAAACAGAATTTACTTTCTTTATCCAAAGGCCAATTATGCAAGTCTCTCTTAGACAAAACTTCCAGCTAAGGGGGTGGGGGGAAGAGAGAGAGCGAAAGTAATGTGGAAATAAAGAGAAGGTTGCTACCTTATAAAACCAATAATGTTTATGTGGAAACACTGAACCTCTTCTTACCTCAAGAACTCTATCAGTTCTTCCTTCCCTAATTCATTTTTTCTATCTGATAGTAAGTTATCCAAAAATTTCTTCCCCCCCCAAAAAAGGGAGCCGTAAGTCTAGAAATCTGTCAAATAATACTTTTATATTATTTCAGCTTGAAGTGTACTTAGAGACTTAACGGAAAAAATGCTTCATAAGATCTGGGAGAATAGTAAGTTATGTCTAATTACCGTCGACACTCTCCTTACTTGAATTTTCTCCTGTTGATAAACGTTACACGGTCAGTGCCTGCTGTAGGATGAGCAACGTGCTGTACTGTCCCTCAGTCTTCTTTCTGCATACAAGAAAAAAGGAACAGTAATTTTCTTTTTAGTGACTAGGCAAGCATAAAGTCTTAAGGAAAAAAAGGTGCAGAAAACAACCTACATTCAGTAAAACAGCAAAAGACATCGGAGAACAGCCAATGATTAACTCTGCTAGAATCAGCAAATAAAACCCAAGGAAGACTCCACTGGGAAAGAACCAAAAGACCTTACGCAGCCCTCTTGCATTTATTCAGTACGTACCGAATGCAAAACCTGACAACTGAGTAAACACTGCACGTACATTTAATGCTGTATTAGCCAAAGACACTCCACTGCTTAAGCTATGATCTAATGAGTGAAAGGTAACTTGAACGCTATGAAGATGGTTCCTGTATGAAGTGCATTGTGTGGCAATTAAGTGTATTTACTTAGTCATCTCCTCAGTGCTCTATTCCTCTATATGACAATAATGATAAAAAAAAAAATCCATTTCCAAAAGGTATGTGAATGTATCCAAATTTAAATTATCATGAACATATTTATCCTCTGATAGGGGACATAAAAAAAGACATAAGCTGTACAATCTGGAAAACACAATCACAGTTTACTGTTATGGGGCAGCACAGCTTTATTCTAGAAACTGTTCCACTAAAGATGCTCCACCAGGAGCAGATAACGAACAGCTTCAGTAGTCACTGAAGCCATCCAAGAGGTTATATTTAATATAAAAAAATCATCATCTTTTTCAAGCTACTGGATCCAGTACCAAACTCCAGTTCCTAAGCCACTCGCACATCGAGGATTACAAATTGCACTGGTTTGGCTCTCCACACTTAAGAAGTCTTTACACATACTGGTTAATTCCCAATATAGTTTTTCTAAAGATAAGGCACAGGCAGGTACGTTCCGCGGTTTTACTGGAGCGCTCCGAAAAATCACTGCCTCCGTCGCTCACTGAGGTAGTTTATAGACTAAGCTGGCTACCTTTGCACTGAGCCAGCCAGCAGAAGCTCACAGCTTCCTCCAGCAAACACAGCAGATCCATTGTTATTTTCACCAGAAAGGTGATACTGTCTTGAAGTCGCAGATGTTTCTGAAGTCACAGCCTAATAAATGTTCCTCCTGAACTCCTTTTAATAAGACATGGGCAAAAAAATACAAGGCATCAGGCCCCAATGCTGGAAAAGTGAATCTTGAGCAAACGGAAGCATTTTCCACATCAATCAAGATATTGGGAACAATAGCAGATTTACATTAAGATTGAAATGGACTAAGGGCTCCGAGCCAGTGGTCTGTCTTGCTGGTCAATACACAGAAAGGATTGTGTTAGCACCACTGAAAGAATAAATTATCGCTGCTTTTACAATAAGCTCTTCAAGAATGCAATAAAGAGTTCAGTGTGTGCTCCTCACTCAGGAATCCAAAACTTTTCAGTTAAGGTCTGGCTCGCAGCAAAGATAACAGCTGAAAACTAACCATCTTGACCTTGGTAAGCTTCACGACAACTTGCTAAAAACAGGTGAAAAAAATGAAAAGGTTACTTCTCTGATATTCACCAGCCTGAAACCAGAGCAATGAGCAACCACAGTTTTAAACACCGATAGTTCAGATCTGATCGTTTTGAGATACAGCAAAATTAGAAGTGAGAAACGGGTTTTTTTTTCCTAAAGTCTCTTGACTGTTGCAGTGTTACTAATATTGATGTTTTCTCAACTGCTTTCAGAGATAAATTTAAAATTCTTCCCTGATTGACGATGATCTTCCCTGATCCCCAAATGAAACGATGAGAGGAAATAAAGAAAATATGTAACTAGGGAAGGCATTCTTACAGTATTTCATACCGGCTTATGACTCTGACGCAGAATATCGTAAGAATGCCTTCCCAGTTGTTTATTTTCTTAAAAGTTACAAGCTTACTTCTACAGTTTGACAAGAAGTCTTCCAAGTTGGGGAAATAGCAGGTCATCAAATAAAAGTGCCAGTTTCAGTCTTCCAAGCTTAAAACATGTATTTTAATTTGCTCGAAATTCACCCAAAGGGATTCCAAAACCTTTTTCAATAACGGGTGTACAAACGGGTCTACAAATACATACAGAGTACCGCCCAAACCTACTGCGTTCCCAGTGGGGGTCTGCCAAGGCCCGGCACGCTCTCTTGTGAGCAGAATGCTGGAATCTTTACTGTTTGCACAGTACATGTGAAATCTTGTTTTTCAAGGACTCACCAAACCTTTCCTAAAAATGAATATAAAAGATGAAAGGTTGTTGGCCTGGGTGTGACAACCCACACAGTCAACACGATGCAAATGCTAACCTCCAAAAAAACCCAAACAAAAGACCGTTACAAGTGTCATATAGAACATTTATATTCAATTTTGTTGCAATTTTGGTTTCAGTACAACATCAAAGAAAGATGCAGTTTGTGATCAAGGGTTGTGGCAGGAAACGCATTTGTGTAGACAAAGTTATCTTTATTCTCTCTAAAGGTGAATACACTAGGAGTTATTGTTTTAAACTATTCTAACATCCAACTCCTCAAAACCATCGGCAACTAAAACGCTGTAGTAAAATTAACTACCAAATTTTACAAACAAAAATAAGCTATTCTAACATAACAGGAATGAAAACAGCCTGCAATATGTATCTGTGCAGATACAAAGCCCAAGAAGTTGAAATTATTCCGTTTCATTGTCAAAGTGCTGCTTAATTGCAGTTAAGGCCAAGTTTTTCAAAAACCTGCTGCAACAATACTGAGCCTACCACCGAGCGAACAACTTGTAATAGCTTGCTCCAGGAGATGTTGAAGATGGTCAATACAAGTTTATTCACAGACTGCTGTATTAAGAATCACAAACTAAGATCCAGGTTACCACTGAACACCAGGTAGACTCCTTTCAACTCAGCTTTATAGAATATTAGATTTATTTGGTCCTAGCTAAGAACAAATTATTCCCAGGCAACAGCAGCATTCCAAAACTTTCAGAGATTTGGAACACAGTAAGGTAAAAAGACCTAAAGGAGAGGACAGTGTAATAGCTGGCTGTTTTTCAACATGCATGATTACACACACAGAGCCTTGAGAAAGTCAACATCTTTCCTATTTTACCACCTTATCCTTTTTCACATACAAATTACAAAAAACAAGGAAAGGAATGCAAGTGTGGGAAGCAACTCGAGTTTTGCTTCTTACTCACAGAGATACTGAACAAAACACAAAGTACTTTCTTCTACACTGGATATTAACTCCAAGGTCAATTTATTGGCTTCAAATACAGAGAGGATGCTTCCCTGGTTAAAATGCTAATCCGAGTCTCAGGAAATCTCGATTCAATTCCCTGCCTCACCACATACTTCCTGTGTGACCTTGGGCCATAAATATTTTGGTGCCTCAGTCTTTCCATCTGTGACTGAGATAGTATTTCCCCATTGAACCAAGTGTCATAAAGATAGACGCATTAGAAAAACATTAGGGATCACAGACCACAGGCACATGGTACCGGGCTCCTGAAGAATTTATCTGCAGCGGTAGCGCGTGTCAATATTCACAATTAGGCATCAGGTAAAGCAGGGAAGGGCTGCCAATGTTAAAAACCTAGCTACCACAGGACAGAAAAGACATAAAATATTCGAAGAATGGACAGAAATTGAAAGCTCAATTATGAAAAGAAATCCGCTTCACAGAAAATTTCCATCACTCCAACAAGAAGTCTGAGTGGCAAGTTTTAAACAGAAGCAAAACTCAGAAACCAGCTGGGAGAGAGCTGCTCAAGGAAGCAAATACACCTGCCAGCCACCCATTATTACCCCGTTTTCTGAAATTATTGCGCTGCGCACCAACCACCTCAAATAAGAGGCTGGGGGCCACGAATCCCTGGAGACTCTCCCCCAGCCCTCCGTAGGAAAGCAATCCCACGTTGCTGAAGTCAACAGCCTTTTGTAAGAGGCAGTAAATAGGACGGCGCTGAAAAGCAGTCACAGTAGGGTCCCCACCTTTGCTGCTGCCCCAAGGCAGAGGGGGACAAAGCAGAATGGGGGAGGGTAAAAGATGGTCACCACCCAAACACTAGATGACAGGACTGACCTCCCCCTGCCCCGACCCCAGGAGGAGCTGGGGGAGGTGTCTGGTACTCGAGCTGCTGATCAGCCAAGGGGAACAACTAGAAGGCT